TTGAACCGCTGTAGAAGGGTGGCATTCGATCACCATACTCTTAGTGAGATTAAACCTGGTGAGAAAAGCCTGGAGACGTTCATCTTTGTGCTGTCTCATTGTGAATAGGCTTGAGATGTCCTTTGGCGGACGCTTGTTCCCACAGTACTGGCTTATGAACCGATCGCACAGGTCTCGGAAGCTACCAATTGAGCTCCTAGGCAAGTTCTTAAACCAGCTGAGCGCCGGTCCAGCTAGGCTTGTAGGGAAACATTTGCACATTAAAGCGTCGTTTTTCGTATTCAGGGCCATCTTCAACTGGATATGGTACACATGATCGATTGGATCGGTTGTTCCATCAAACAGAATAAATACTGGCATAGCAAACTTCCTTGGATGCGGGGCATTCAGGATCTCGTCAGTGAATGGTGAATCAACCGTTTGAGCCGCGGATCGGAGTGCTTCATTCTCTCTTTGGCGCCCAGTGGTAGCTCTGTGAGCTACGTTTCTGCTCTCCGAACCGCGATGAGTGATTGTAGCCATGGAGGGCCGGTAGGACGGATCGAACGACCGTTCCTCTATGAGCTCTCTTTGCCAAGGCGACGCAACTTGGCGGTGATCAACCTCTATCACCTCCTCTCAGTTGAACCTTTCCCGATGCGGATCGAAGGTCATGGCTTCGTTCTGTCTGATCTGCTCATGTCGCGGATCAACGTGAGTCGATCCTTCGTGATCCTCAACTCGACGAGCATTTGGCGGCAAATCATCCATCCTTCTTTCATCACGGTGGAGAGCTGACTGACTGTTCTCGTCCTGCTCGCCTTGATGCGCGATATTAGATTGAACACCTCCTTCTCCGGCCGAAGGTGGACGCGAAACCGCGGGCATTTGCTGATGTTGCATTCCAGCTTTCAATTCTGCATTCTCTTTTTTGAGAGCCTCGATCAAGTTCTTCAACTCCTCAAGCTTTGTTTGCTGGACAGCCTCCATCGGATTGGAGCTTTCACCTATCATTATTCCTGAACGGAGTAAAGGCATTAATCTCAAGTTCGCTAGTAGATCCGAGCTTCGTGAGTGGGAATTTTTTAGATCTGGTTTCGAATTCTCCGAATTGTGCTCATGGTTGACGAGATCTGAATTGTTCGAATTCTAAATCCGTCAGATCCTGCCACAATCGAACAACTCGTTGTTGCGTAGATCTGAAGCCACTTCTGCCAAAGCTACAGGAACTAAAATTCCTCCAGAGTAGGTCACAATCGCTCAGATCTGGATTCAACTCCCAAAGATCGAGTCTCGATCACCCGAATTGGTCTGAATCCACGCGATATTAATCATTGATCAACCAATCTTCCATGGTTCCCACAGACGGCGCCAATTGAAGATACAAGAAATTCCTTCCCCCTTTCTCTCTCTAGAATTCTTGTATTTCAACCAAAAAATATCTCCCCTCCTCTTTCCATTACTTCTCCTATTTATAGATATTTACAAATGTTAAGACACTGCTGGATCTAGGCTTGTTCCTCCATAAGTCCTGGTCATCTTTGATGGGCTTATTCGCGTTCAGCCCATATGGCAGTGTCTTTCTATGGGCCTGACCCATCTGTACGGACCGGATGTCGCGTTTGCAAGTCATATCCGGCCCATGTCATCTCGGGCCTCCTCACTACACTGATCGGGTTTGATGTGTATTAGAGAGGAGATAGATGATTGTGGCAGTGGCAGTGGCAGTGGCTGTGGTGGGATTTGATGTGTATGAGAGAGGAGAGAGATGGTTGATTTGGGTATATTATTTGATGGGGTTTGATGTGTATGATAGAGGAGTCTTCGTCCAGATAGAGAGAGATACTGATAAAAAGTGTGGTGGTTAGTGTCTTCCATCGTCGCCGGTGGGTGGGATGAGATGATGATGACATAGAGGGAGATGACGATGGGTGATGATGGTGGGGTGAGATGACAGAGAGGGAGGAGGATTATGGGTGAGTAAACTGCTACAGTAACTGAAAGTATTTTTTGTGAAAGGTGTAGAAAATAGAGAAGTAACAAATTCTCGCCTTCTCTCTCCTTCACCAATGTGAAAGTATTTTTTAAAATATGAAAAGTAAAATTATATTAATAAACATAATTTTTACATTTTACTTCACAGTTTAAAAATTAAAAGTAAAAAACAGGAATCATTCTTGTTAGTAATAGGCCCATAAGCTCCAGTCTTCAAACCTTCTTTCTTTTTCACTGGATACCCCCGCGAACTCAAATGTTTATATTTACTTGTGCATACAATCAATCTTTTAACTTCTGAAAAAAAAAAAAAAAAAAAAAAAAAAAACGACTCCCACATGTTCAATAATTACAAACCGTGAGACATGCTTAGGTATTTATGCTAAACTCGATGTTTACTCAATTACAAAAAGACTCCCACATGTTCAATAATTACAATTTAAAAAAAAAAAAAAAATACATAATCAATAGATGAGAAACTGATATTTCTTAAAAATAATAAATGACAGATGGACAAGTGGCTAATAAAATTGCTTTCTGATTTATATCATAAGATTGTCAGAATGGTTATCTAAGATGCAGAAAATAATACTGATTGGTAGACGAACAATATCTACTTAGATCAAGTGTTGGTTGTTTGCATTTTAAGGTACTTGAAGGAGGAGAAGAAAAAACGTTAAACTGCGATTATGAGAGGAGCTAAAGAAAACATCTCTGTTTGGTTTGTAATTATTGAAACAGTTTTCTGTTCTCAGAAAATTAAAAACTGTACAAAAACTCTACTTGGTTTAATTTTCCGAAAATTATTTTCTGAAAACTCAGATATAAAAATACTTGTTTTCAGATAATTATAAAAGATTGTTTTTTGAGAATAGTTTTCTGTTCTTTAAATTTTTGAGAACTGTTTTCAGAATTACAATCTAAGTAGGTCATTGGTTATCGAAAATTTGACTACAACGAGAACTGGAATGGAAGATCAAAAACCACGAGATCGAAGGTTTAGTGATGCAAGAAATGGAAGAAAGGACTACCAATAAATTTTGATGAGCATCTATTTGGGAAAGAAAGAAAGAAAGATATGCAATGGATGATTCTAATCAACATGGGCACAAGCATTCATATATACAATGTCATGAGGTTCAGAATCAACAATTCTGCAAGGTCTAGATTTCATGTTAATAGGTAGATGCATGGACACAGCTGGTGTAGTGCGTGTGTGAGAGAGAGACAGAGAGAGCATACTTGAAAGAATCCTAGAACATAATCATTGAAGAAAATATGACATTCAAAATAGGTTCCTTAAAATGCACTAGTTCCTCTCTGCACATACATTAACTAAACTATAAAGCACTCCGACAACAAGTGCCCAGCTAGTTAGCAAGAAGTTGCCAACCAATAAGATTGTAACGACCCGAAACCATAGGGGTGCGATTAATGAGGTTTAAATGACAGCATTCTTCAGTAAGAAGAAAAACATGCGCAGCAGATACTTAAAAATTCGTAGAAAAATCATTTTTAATCGAAATGGGCCAAACTAAAATTATGTCAAAACTAGACTCGAAGGATAACATGACAGAGCCACTCCCAGCAGCTAAAGCTTTGCCATTGAAATCAGTATTTAGATCAAAATTTGACTACATTGGTTGTGCTAAAAATTTACAGTATTGTGATTTATGATTGACACACAGAATTGTGGATACCCTGGCGAGATTGCACTATGTGGTATTGCCAGTCAATCACACATGCCACAAAACAAAGAGGGGGGACCTTTCCACGTGACAATATCATTGGCGTCAAAATGCCAAGAAAAGGGGAAAAAAATTAATACAACACATCACAGTGTCATTTTTGCTAAAACAGTGTCACCAACTATAAAAATCTTGACATTCAGTCCTAAAGGTCAGCACACATTGTCAAATGCATATCTGTGTAATCGCCTACACATTTGACATTTAAAAAAACAAAACCACTTCACGGCATTTGAAGAAGTACACCAGCATAGACAATATTTCACAGCAGTTTTTACGACCACCACTATAAGCCTCTTTTGTTGTAATTTCTGCAAATTATTGACAATCAATTCTTAACCTAAAAAGTAACAGATCCTTGTTATCATAAAATATATTTGAAGAGTAACAGATCCTTGCTAATTAATAGTCTCAACCAAAATCGGATTTATTTATTAATGGGTTAAAATATACATAGAGTAACCCAATCCTAACTCAATTTCTGCCTCAACCCTAACCATCAATCACAATCCACTTCATTTTTAGATTTTCACACATTGAACCTCAAATTCTAGATTGAGATTATGTAAGTACAAAGACTGAAGGAGCTAGGTTGGCCAATTCAGTCTCTTAGCCACTAGAGGAAGACAGAGTTAGGTTGGGCAATTCTGTCTCTCAACCATGGGAGGAAGACATTGCTAAGTGAAGAAGTGAAACCTGAACCAAATCCAATATTCGTCCGTGTTAAGATTTTCATGCATTCAACCCACATTTCTGTTAAAAGCTTAAGATAGTAGACAAAGTTTAAATATACATATATGTGAATCCAATTATGTTTGATCCCTCTTGAGATGAGATGAATAGTAACAATAGTATGCAAAAAGATATGTGAAGAAATGTTAATTGAGTCAGTGCTTGATACCCAAGTACCAAGAATCCACACCAAATACATGGCCATGAGCCAACTAATTCTGAATTCTTTCTGTCAAGCAGAATAAGCATTGTCATTCCATGAATCCATTCGAAGTTTTTTCTAATACAAGGAGTTAGCAAAGCTAAGAGCATAAATGGGTTTGCTAATTAACAAAAGGCACAAACCTAGTCAAAATATTATAATTTGCCGACTATGATCACAAGGTTGAAACATAATTATATAGCAAAACAAAGCACACATAATTTGTAAGAATACCCGAAATCCTCTATGGTCACCATAATAGAATCATGCTTTGGTAGAAAGTTAACAGCTCCCTGAAAACCAAACATCCTCATAAATCACAGCAACAGTTATAGAATGCCAATTCATTGATAATAGTTGAGCTTAACAAGGCTTTTCACATTAACAATCGCAGCAACTGAACCAATGCCGAGATCCACGACCCTGTTCTCTTTCAGGTCATACCAAATTAGAGTACCAAACAAATGCAACAAGACAACTTCCCTACTGGTCTTAGAATAAGCCAAAACCCTTGCACGCTTCAGGCTATGATCCTCACTGTATTTGACACTCGGCAACTTTACCCTGAAGAGTTTTGTCCATGACGACTCCACCATATAATCATTCATGACCCATAATTCAACAGAATCTTTTAAATTCTTATTATAAAATATGCACAAACATCCACATAGAACCCCCAAGGTTTCGCTAGTAAAATTTAAATCAGGAACTTGTGGCAACTGATGTTTCTCATTCAGGGGATCAAAAGCAACAACAATGTCAACCACTTCTGAAGATTCTTCACAACCAAACCAATGCAAAGCTCCATTCATGCTCACGCTATGAGTTCACGGAGTGTCGCATTCCCTTTCGAGGAAATAAGGGAAGTTCTCAATCCGCCTCCACATATTCGATTTTAAACTATAAACCGTTACTTCAGAGGGAAATGAATCATGACCATGCAAGAACAGCAAAAATCTTAATCACCATGTAATCATCACCAACAGAATCATACACTATTCCATGAAATGTGTGCCAAGCTTCGGAAAATGTCAATGGAGGTAAAATTTTGTACTCTTGAAGGATTTAACAAGGCAATGTCTTCATATGAGTGCAAACAGACCAAACCATTGCACGGACCTCCTTCTATATAGTGACTATCTCCATCTATATAGTGATTATCGGTCTCAGATCTGATGGGGTTATCGACTTCTGCAACATCTAAACGTGGGACACTACTACTACCACCAAGTTCCACGACACCATCAAGCACATCTAAGTCTACTGAATGTATTTCCTTATCTATAAAAATCAGACTCAAATTCGTTCCAGTTTCAAGCGATCGATGGAGTTGCAATTTGATGAACCTAGGCGAGTCAATTAGGGCACACCATGGTTTGGAAACGCACCTGAAACGTAGCAGATCTTTCACCGGTAGTCGGGAGAGAATGTCGTCAAACACATCATCCGGAAGCTCCGACATGGATTCCGCCTCAGTCTCCTTCAACACTAACACAGTAACACTCAAATAACTGTTTATGAAAAGCTCTCCTCGCTACCACACATTGATGGACTATCCGACCTTCTCGCTGAATGGTTAACGCATTCTCGCCAACGGCCACCACCACAACCTCCAGACGCCGCTTGATGAAATGATTGGCAATAACGATCGGATCCCTTTGACTACTGTGTGTGCCAGAGAGACGAAATCTGATTTAGAGCGACTAGAGGCTACCATTTTGGGCCTCCATTGTCTACTTTGTTGGGCTACCTTTGTTATTCTTTCCTTTCTTATCTCTTTTTCCAGAGCGTTTTGGGCTTAAGCCAGGCCCAACCTTTCTCATTTGTACAATTGTTTAAACTTCCAAATAAAAAAAATAAAAATAAAAAACATTAAATGTACTTTATTAAATGGTGTTCCACATTTTAAATGTAAAATGCATTGGATGAGTGGTTTAAAAAAATTAAAATAAATAAATAAAAACATTTTAGAATTTCTTAGCCCAGATAATGTGTGTGGGTGGGTGTTGAACAACACATATTACTATATTACTGTAGCTCTTTACCGTACACAGCATGAGTGCCAAAATCCTAACTTGTATCCGAAGAATCTGAACCAATGAAGCATTAATAAGTTAATAGCCGTAATTTGTTTGTTTATCGCGATATGAGATTATTAGTATTATTATTAAAGAATGCAGTTCAATATTGTCTTAAGGCTCATGAGCTTGTTTTTTTTTTTTTTTTTTTTTTCCTGCTCATGAGCTAGTTGACTGCATGCAATATCAATCTACTGGACACAGATATCTCTGCATAAACTTTGTTTTAAGAGCATTTGGTGCGCGGCAATTAATAGAGAAGAAGTGTGAAAAGTAGAGAGAGAGAGGGAGGGGGGGCTAAAGTAGAATACTATGTCCCATTTTAGATGTCTGTCTTTGGAAATTGTGACTTACAATTTTTGTAGTTCCCACATAGTCTTCCCTACATAGAAGTGTTTGGACATGATCTATCATTTTGTTTAATATTTTATTGGCTGGTCCTATCTCTTTAGTTTGGCAACTTTATATGTTTTGAAATTATCAGAATTTTTTTAATTAGTTTACTTCTGGATTGACTTATGAAAGAGAACACCAAGATACTTTAATTTCCTACTTTTTTGCAAGCACGATTATATCTTACGTAGCAGACATGCTAAATTAATCAACAATTATTATATAATTAATACTACCTTTACTCATTCAACAAATTCGATTGGTTGATACGAGTTGATTTTTGATTACGATAAATTGACGAAACAAAAGCCAGTCCAATAGCTGCTTCAGCGGCTGCAATAGCTATAACAAAAATTGCAAAAATGGTTTCTTTTAATTGACGACTATCAAAAAAATCAGGAAATGTTACAAAATTTATATTAACTGCATTCAATATAAGTTCAAGACACGTAAGGGCTTTATTAAACGGCTATTTTATTTATAAAAAAAAAAAAATGCACTGTAAAAATCCTAGCAATTATCATCTTCAATAATTCTCTCTCAATATATTTTTTTTATCATTCATTTCCATGGATCTTATACCTCTATTCTTTTGCTCCCATCTCAACCAATCTCATAACTCCGAATTACTACCGCAGTCTAATTATAATTTGGATTCTTAAAAAAAATTTCAATCCGAAAATTCATCTCAACCCCAATACTCTTATTTCTCATATCTACCACATTCTTAATTCCAACCATGAGTGGTTTATATAGAAATTGAAATATAACTGTTGGGAATATAGTCATTGAAAATATATATACATATTAAAATTAAAAATTTTATTTAACTTTTAAATTAATTAATAAAATAATAAATAGATAATGAGATAATTGAGTTCTACACCATGAAACATATTGGATAACAAAAAAATAGAATACCACATCATCACCTTTAAACTTACGTGGCAATCTACTTTTAAAAAGTATTTAGTTTTAGACCCACACCACATGCTCTAAGTCTCTATGTATAAAGTGGCCCTTTCTTACATAAGCTTGTGATTATATGTTATTGTAACACATCAAGAGCACAAATAAAGAACTGATACAAAATAAATACACACCATATAAGGAACACAAAAATTTACATAAAATCTATTTCCACAATGAAAATTCGATCAAAGATAAATTTCATTATGCGAAAATAAAAGATTAAAAGTTTCCGTCTCCAAACCCCTCTCTTTTTTACTCTCTGCTTTCAAAACGCTTGGCATTAAATTAGAGGAAATGACAGGCATATTGGCCAAAGAGAACAAAGCTTCGACTAAAATATACGTTACGAATGGGTAAACACACGAATGAGGAACGCATCATAAACCAGTGCTACATGGACAACCACACCTCTCTGCCACAAAATCAAGGAAGGATAAAAGCTTCCAAGGCTAAGTTTCAATGCACCAAATGCTTAGTATCTAATCTATACTTACAACCATCCTATAACTACACTCAGGTGCTCCCTCTTCATTTACAAGGTTGGCTTCAATGAATCAGTGTCCCCGAATTCTCTTCTCAGAGAGGTTCAATTGAAACGCTTTTAAGCCTCTCCGTCTTTGCTTGAAGGCCATAGGAAGAACAATGTCTTCTCATCCATAGGAAGAACCCCACTCTGCACAGAATTGCCTGCACTAGCACGGTCTGATGCATGTGGAAACTGACCCTGGACACCATGACTTAAATTGCCATTCATGTGCATTAGTGGCCTGTTTCAGAATCTGGGTTCCCAGCAGCTGCCGCTAGCTGGATGCTCTTCATCCTTTCTCTTTTAGCATCTAATGTTCCGCTAGATACTGCATTCAGTAAATTAAATTTCTAATGTTAGATTTTTCATTACACGGATTGGAACAGTTAAATAAGTGTGGCACAACAAATTACCTCCAGATGGGATTTTGTGGAAGAAAGGTTTAGGGCAGCTAGGGGAGGAGTTGACAATGGTAAACTTAAAGGTGTCCTTCCTGCTGCTGCATTCTTCTCCATCTGCAGCACAAGCAAAAAACAGTTCTTGTATTTACATTGCACTGTTAACCTTGGAACATTTAATTGCAAAAGATGTCAACCAAACCTGTGCTAAACCATCTCTTATGTATGTTAGAAATGCCTCGCTAGCATTTTGAAGCTGAGCAAATATATCAACCTAAAATATAAAGCATGAATCAAAATCTGCACAACTACACTAACAAGAAGATCCAGAAAAGAGAAATCACTTGCACTAGTATGAGAGCCCCAGCCCCCTCTGAAAGATTATAATAAATGCAAGCAAACCCTTAACATATACTCCGTAGTTACTTCATACACAAAGTTTTACCTTGGGATATAATTGGGTCATACGATAAAGTTCATAAAGACCAATAGAGCATGTTTGCTTGTCACCAATCTTCTTGAAAATTGCAACAAGTTCTTGCTGAAGGATGCACACACTATTAAGCAGATTATATCATGTACCAAAAGAAAACATGCAAAAAAGGAACTATAAACACTATTTTGAAATCAACATGGATAGGCAAAACAAACGTTAGAAAATAATATATAAAAAAAATGTTTGGAACATGCATTAACCTTCAACTGGGCATCTGCAGAATGAGTGGCAGGTGATGGATTGTTAGCGGCAGAATCATCCCAATGTGTTTGGCCAGCAGGGCCTGAAGGTGTCAGCATTCTTGCAGCAGCCGAAGTCTGGTAAGGTTACCAGATAAATAAAATAGAGCAAAAAATTAAGATAATATAAAAGTTAGAGAAAAGTCATATGAAAAGAAGCGAAATTCTCCGTTTGTTTTGACATAAAATATTTTCTTTGGAAAATATATATGTTTTTTCAGGTAAAATATTTATTTTTATTTTTATTTTTTGGTGTTTGGCAAAGGTCTAGGTTGAGGTTGAGATCGAGTCCATAGGGTGGGGCGTGTAAAATTGATGAATAAGTTAATTTTGTTAAGTTTTGATATTTTTTTTTTCGTAAATATTTTATGACAACCAAACACCAGAAAACACAGAAAATATTTTCCGAAAAATATTTTACGCTCAAACAAACGAAGCCTAAGTAATTGTGTAATTTACAAAACATAAGAACCTGAAGATAAAGATCAATGTAGGCAAGAATAATAGGCTGAGGTTCCATGTCTATTGGAACCATAGAAAGATGACCCTTGATTGCAGTCCCACGAAGCTTAACAAGCTCGTGTAGAACAGTTTTAACCATACGTAATGGTTTATCATCAGCTCCAGCTCTTTTAAAATGCATAACATTAAAAAATTGATAAGTTCATATCAAGTTAAGCAGCCAAGTGCAAAAGCGATGTTACAAAAGT